TCGTTAATTCCAGCAATTGAGGCTGTATATAAAAATTTGCTCGGAAAATATTATACTCTGCGGTAACGGTATATTTAGTGGATGGGTAGAGGCGAGCTTTCGTTTGAGGTTTTCGATCTCGAGTTTCTTAACGTTCAGGCAATTCTCTTGGTGGAACGAATGCTTTCTGTCAACGCGACTCGCGACTGCGAGTACTTATTAAGCATTAATTGCACGGAAAATGTACCTTACGTTTGCACCCGTGTCCAAGATTACATCGCTAGAGGAAGATCCTCCCTTTGGTGTGGAAAGAGCTAGTATTAATGACAATAATTAATTTGATTACCCAACTGATGTCAATTTGCAAATGCGGAACGCGTTGGCGTGATTCGTTCGACGCTCTTGAGCGGACACGGATAATTCTTCGCGGCAAATTGTAATTATTAAACTGCGGATTTTGTAGCTTTCGGATATGGAAAACGTACCAGACTTATCTCCGAGACACTTGGGAAAATGGAGAATTTGGATACTAGTATTATTATGTATTTTGTTTTATAGTAAGAATAAAATAATATAGAAGCAACTAAAGCGAAATTACTCTTCGACGTATGATTTAATATCTCCTAGAGGGAACAACTCCAAAATATTGCACTGATACAAACTTTGTGTGTAATCTTTACATTCCAACGAGCAGTACACATTTCCATCTTTCGTAACGTGCTATGTAATTGGAAAACCTATTTCTTACTGCAAATAGAAAATTAAAAATTGCGTGCAAAATCATTCCAGTTCGAACCGCGTTTCCATTACAACATAAATCAAAGCATCGAAATATGAATTGTACAAAGGTTTTCACGACTGACTGCTTTCAAAGTATCAATCGAAATATTCCTGCTATGAAATGATTGTACGCAACGAGATTGAACACAGCCGGTGAGATTCGTTTGAGCATTTCAATCCGTTCTACGCATCGATGGTTCGGGCACGAAATTAACCACTGACAGCGTCGAAACTCGGTAATCTCGAAAGTATTAGAAACACCGGTTCAAAATCGCATTTACCGTCTGTAAATGCGATACGTGACTGACACTGCACGACTTGGTGGTCTACGATCGATAGGATGCAGGCGAAAATAGAACTTAGTGCACTTATTTCATCCAGCCGGCTGGATGGAGCCAGATGCAATAGAAAAAAAAATGGAAACGCTCCGAAAAGGGTAACGCCACGCTAGTTAAACCGTTTCTGGGTTCAGGGTGCTTAGAGACGCTATGCAAAGGAAGCCGGATGTCATTTAGATTTAGATGAGCTTCGTGAATAAGACTCAACGGCTTACGGTTGGTTTCTACTGGAATATACAACGCACCCTACTTAGAATGCCACGAAACACGTGCCTTTCTGCTTTATGGCTGGCGAGCTGGATGGAGACGATGTTTACATAAAAAATTTGTTAATGCTCCGGGAGAATCTTGCAAACGAAGTGTTTCCAGTCGAACGAGATGCGATACGTCAAGGAACGGACGCTTAGGTGTTGGTGGAGTGAATAAACTAGACTTAAGTAATGGTTTGTTCGTTGAATAAAATCAAGCTCCTCATTAGTCTGAAGCAACATCCATTTGTTACAGCTCTTTCTACTTTATATCGTGGTGGAATGGTTGGACTAAGTTTTTATTTCGATGTGGAAGAAAGTATACAATTTTTCAAAAATAGATTTTAAAGGGGAGCATTAGGTTAAAGATAAGTAATACTGAAATAGTGATATGAAAGTCAAGAAGCAAAATTAGTAATAATAGACAATTTAAATAAATTATTACGCGATGAAAGTTACATTTTACATTATAACTCAAAAGAACCAAATAAATCTGCTCGACATAAAGCTCGTAATAAAGCTACGCTCGTTCAGATTAACGAAAAGTTTAATTTCAACTAACATTAGCAGTAGGCCTTGCAACTATTTAAAACAACAAATAAACCATCACTCTGACAGAAGTTAAACGCGAACAAAACCAACAAGTTTCCGGTCGAGTTGAAGTTGTGTGTTGCGCACAGGAATGTTTGATAGCGTAAATATGTTCCAAATTAATAAAAACCATACGCACAGGGAGCAACAATTTTTCACCCTTGAGCGCAACCGTATAACTCGAAATTACTTGAAGCTCGCGTAGAATTCGCGCAACGGGATTCTTTCAGTAATGTTCAGTATTGCAAATAAAATATCGGTGCACCGAATGCGGAGGATCAAAGCTGAGTACTTCGGAAATATGTTGCGGAAGGCAGAGAAACATCGCGAAAAACGTTTCGGCGTAATTTATCGTGGGCTACGAATACGCATTTCGCATTATTACATCTGTGCCAAAGATTCCGTAAACCAAAGCTGGAGGGATTAACAATTTTTCGGTTCGTTTCCATGCCGAGATGAAAAATTATGTCAACCGAACCACCTGAAAACATGTCGCGAAGATAATGGTCTCCTCTCAGACTTTTCGATATTCTTTCACGGCATAATTCAGTTGGGTGTCGGTTAACTAATTGCTGCGAATTTTAAACGAGCATTTACCAGCAGAAAAAAGTAATTCGAAAGACGTTTCGTTATCAAAAGAAATATGAAATAAAGCTTCCTCGATGGACTAATTAATTTTCTTTCCACGAAACGCGACGACTTGTGCTGCGACAGAAGGACGGCGATTTGACACCTACTCTTTTTCGATTATTAATGTTTCCATCACGGGACACCGTAGACGAGAATTGGAATTAATTTAATGTATATTTTATTTAGGCTAGGATCTGTATTTTATTCGACTTCATTTCGATGTAAATTAATTTTTATAGCTTCTTTGGGTTTGCTAGGAATCATTAGAGAATGTTTAGTTAGGCTTGAAACTACGATAAACAAATGCGTGTCACACCTGGAACGTTGTAATAACGAAAGAAAACACGTTCGTCATCCTTCAAACTTCTATCAAAGGTTACGCGAAGGTGAATCGAACTATATTAACGTCTCTATTATGTTACTTTCTAGTGCTCCCGTTGAAAGTGCATAGTAACAGTAAATTTGAGTAGAGTAACTTTGATTACAATCGAGGCACGAACGGTTTCCGCGCTAAATGAGAATGAAACGCGTATGATTGCGCCATATTTTTCTGTCTGTGTCGTTAATCAAATTTTATTCGCTCGGAGCTTTGTACATGTTTTACCCAGACTCATTAAACTCAATTACGCGCTGCAGTATGAAAGCTACAAACAGGTACGTATCTTCTACCTACGATCGAGCAATGTATTCTTCGAAGCTGCATTCTTCAATGATTAACTGAAAAAGGTCTATTAATTGCCCTCTTTCGTTTTATAATTTAAATTGCTTTCAAGGGTGAGCATCTAGCAAGGGCAATCTTTTTTTCAATGTCTTTCTGAGACTCTTCCAAATCAATTATTTCTCTTCCATGTGTTTACATATTTGCTGGAAGATTGTTCAAGCGCACGTGTACAGAACATTTCTTACATTGAGTAGAGCGAGTATACTTTTATTTCAGGAATCAAATAAATATTTTAAAAGCCAGTTAGTGATTAAATAATCGAAGTATTTCCCAAATATATCGCGAAACGGACATTACTCGGCGACTGAAACTGTTTGGGAAGGATTGCTATGGACACCGCACTAAAATCCGTGAAACATTAACGAACTTGACCCAGTTGCACCTGGGGGGCGGAGGGGTCTCTTTCTGCAGCGAAAAAGTCTCGTTTCTCCATTGAAACTGGAGCCACGGGGACGCTATGCCAATGAAAATTAACACAATTGGAGTATGGCTTTCGCGAGCGCACCAAGAACTGGGTCAACGTCCAAGCAGTCCCTCTGTTTACAGGCGTCTCTTCAAAAGGACGTCCTGTACACGAGGCGTAATTAAACAGCATACATTTAGCTCTTTTCGCGCAGTTACATCAACGTTCGCGTTCGTCCCGTGAGTCCTTTCTCTGGCCACCGAAAAGGGGCGACTTTAATCGCGTCGGAGGCCTCGAGTGCCTGGGGCTACTCGACGATTTCTCTTAAATTATTTATCCCCTTCTATTTCCGTGCTCATGTCAATAACATCCGTACGAAAAGTCAACACTACGCGTGGCGATAACCATTGCCGCGATCGATGCATCGTGCTATACCCTAAGCTCGTCATTTCACGTTGAGTTACATTATTTCTCAAAACAGATCGCTTATGCCTTCTTCGATACGTTTAAAGGTATATTACGAGGCCTCTGGTTGTATTCTGTTTTTATTCGTACAATATGGATGTAATAACTATATCATAAGTATTCAACAAAATGTATAAAAAATTGTATCAACGACGAGGTAGCGCAACAATTTTTAAGCTAGAGTTTGAACAATTTATACGCTTTAGTATCTAAGTGTTTGATAATAATAATGATAGTAAAATTGACGTTTTAGAAAGGTAAGAATTAAATTTGAGCACTGCTGTCAGGAGAACACGACGGCAAAGTCGATAGAAAATTACGCTATGACATTATTTAAATTCACAACGAGTAAACAAAAATCATTGACAGATGAACGATAGACAAATCAGACGTTCACCCTTTTAAACCCCCATTACCATTGACGTACCTAAGTACTTCACAGAAAATTCAATTTTTAAATTTCTCTATGTAAGTCAATACAGAGCTCCAGATTCAACTAATCCTACATATTAATCTAGATGTCCCCTTCGGTTCCGTGTAAACTTTCAACCGTACATTATCCAGACCATTGCGCTCTGATACCAGGATATTCTGAGTCCATCCTAACGTATGCTACCATCAATTAAAGTTCAAGACACTTCAAATAATTCTACATAAATCGACGAAGCCTAGAAAATCTAGACGCAGGTGAATCGATCGACGTCTAAAGTCTCACTGTCAACGCGGTTACTTCAGAATCGGCTCTTCGCGTGTAGGTAAGAATAAGCAACGAAAAAAAGAAAATAGATTAAATTACATCTATTTTCTTTTTTTGTTCAACTTACAACAAATTTTGTTCGACTTACCATCATAGGGTCCGCCAGGTACAACTGCGAACACTCCAACCTTTCCGTGGGAATCATGTTGATGGATCAGACCGGGACACGGTCTGTCGATGTGCCGCACGCGTGAGCGGTTGTCGTTTGGTTTCTCGACTGGTGATCACCAGTCGAAAGCAATCGACGAGTTCTCGATAGAACTGACCGTCGACTGAGTGTTTTCTTGTATTGGTATAACGAATCGTTTGGATGTCGTTTGTTTTCGGTGATAAGTTCGCTGAGGTTGCAAGTAGTCGCAGCCGCGGCTCGAATGAGACTGAACGTGCCCCACGGCTCAGGGTGGTATGTAGCGCGACGCGCAGTAGGGAGACGCACGGTTCTCACTGATACGCCCGTGATTGTGGCCTTGATCGACCTTAGGCGTGATTCGTCGACGATCGCCGGGAAATGTTATCAAACGTTCCTCGTCTGGTGGCGATGCGTCTCGTTTCAGACTTTTTCCCACCCCTAGCTCTTTCAGGCAACCTTCAACGTGGAAAGCAACAATTTGTGATAACTAGACTGCGGATATTCATGCAAACTCAAATTAAAAATACGAGAGAAAAATAGAAACTCAAATGGAAGAATGTCCTATCATCTAAACGGGAGTAACAGGTATACTATTACTAATATTTTATATAATTTTTCCTCTATATTTCCATTTGCCATGCAGTCTAGTAATATCGAATCATTATAATTATTTGACCTCCGGGTGGAACAGGTTTGTTTCGTGCTAATATCGAATGGATAATCTCGTGTCGTGACTATTTCGATTGTAAATTTGATTTCAAGTACGAAACACCGGATTTTGTATAACTTGGAATACCAAATTATGCAAAGTAGAACGTCTCGAATTATGCGAAGGCCTGGTATCGATTGTGTATCGAGGAGCTACAAATTTGGGTCTATTAAGGGCTGTATCAATATAGCTAATTGATACATGATTGATATCAGACATAAACCATCTTAGATGACAGTCAGTTCGCTAATCTATTTACGCAGTGTTTGTGCGTACCTAAGTGCGTGGGAGACAGAGAGAAACTATGTATTCCAAATGTAATTGGCATAATGGAACCATTATTTGGGGATTTGTTCGGTCTAAATCATGCTGTAATATTTGCTTTCACCGTTTGTCACACGGTACATACAATAATATGTGTCAAAACATGTCTTCTCTCTATTTCCAAGTAAATTATTTTCGTAGCTTGTAAATAATATGGGAATTAAAGGGTTGATATTGTCAAAGTCTTCCACTTTTACTCTTTCCAAAAATCATTTAGAGATTTTGCCGTTGCTTCATGCACGGAGTGATAGAGAGATTACATTTATTTTAAAGTCGCTCGAGTAGCTACATTGAATACTACGTTTCATTAAAGAAATGCCTTTTCACTTCTGGTCTCTTTCTCCTGGGCGTGTGATCCCGGTCGACCACATGCCGGATATGAAGTCTGTCCAAAACCCCTCAGTGTACGTGACAGAACTCACGCTGCAGTCTTCTCACGTTCTCTCGCCAACTTGTGTAAACATAACTTTCTCGAAAGCTGCCAACACCCTCTGAACTCTCGATGGTAACGTGACTTAAACTATACGACGTTTCCTACATGCAATTAAAACAGTTATGATGTAGATTGTGAGAAGGCATTCTGGATAAAATATGTAAACATAACTTTTTAGAAAGCTGCCAGCACCCTCTGAACTCTCGATGGTACTTACTCGATGATAAATACTAAAAAAATTCTAGAAAATTCGCCGTAAACGAACCCACTCGAAAATTCCGCTTACCCGCAGTGTTTTCACGGTTGCGCGTCCTTTGCATACCGCGACTCTGACCCGGACGAGCAAAAAAGGGATTTTTTTCTCCTTTTTTAAATCACGGTTAACGGGTACACTTTGAGGAAGCTGTTGTGTATTATTTATGCTCGCAGCCGCCTTTCCCTTCGCATCTCTGTCTTTGCGCTTGCATTTAAGTATACACGACGGAGGCTTTACGATCAAAGGATACTTCTTCACTCTTTCTCGTAAGGGTAGATTTAAATAAACATAGGCTGATCGTAGGCAAATTAATTTCGATGGGCTAATGGAGACGAAATGGTCACCGTGCTGAGATATTCAGCTCGTACTACACGGAGGAGTAAATTTTTCTTTAAGACGACTTATAAATCTTTAATTCTCAACAGTGGACTAACTCCTGAAGCACTGAGAAATCCCCAAATCATAACGTTCCCTACACGGTGGCAAGTTCAGAGGGTCTGAAGATCTAAATGATAAGATAATGCGTAAGTGTACAACTGGTGCTTGTTAAACTTTTACCAGACCTCGCTTCAACAGACAAAATGGAAAAGTTCTAAAGAAAAGAGCTGAAACATTGCAAAATGAAACTCCTCGTCGCACAATAACACCTACATCTTCCTTGAATCTCGTTTTGCTCGATGACATGGAAGGAACAGTAACCCTAACTTATACTAATTCTCGTTCTGATTTATTATACGATCGTCTGTTCCTTTGCAAAAATTTCCGGCTCTTAAGCGTTCCTCGTTAAACGGGCCCACGTGGCGTGCGCCATTTTATGAGTCTTGCATAAAGATGGCAAAGGAAGCGGAGAAATATCAATCCCTGTGATGTTGCATAAACACGAATAAAGGACGTATTTACCGACGACAATGGGATTCCTGTCATCGGAAATTCCGAGAAGAAACGCCGCGACAAACAACGACTCCGTTGAAGTATTAAATATTCATATCCTTTCATTGCGACGGAAAATATAAATATGCATTGAACAAACGCGAAATCTACCTTAATTGAATTGTTTCAACCTTGAATCGCCTCCTTCCTACTTTGCACGGGTCTCAACCTTCGAGCAAGATTCAACTGGCTTTCTGTGAATGCTCCTCTTCATGCACTTGCATCGCTAGAACCCATTTATTTTTTCCGCGATGTCTAGAAGCATAATGACGGAAAATTTCAAGACAGTGCTTACAATGCTTTCGTATCCTTAGAAAAGATGAAGTCCGGCAAATTCCTCATTAACGTAATAAGCCATATTGCTCTGTACTATTACGAAACGATTGTCGCTTAAACGTTGCGCGAGGTCTTAACGCCAATTTTGCTTCCACGAATGATGTTTGGCATATGGTATGTGTGTTGATATGTTTAGAAGATTAAACAAACAAAATCCACTTCGTGAAAAAATTTCAATCGAATCGATTCTGAAAGTAGACACTTTGTTACGACTCGACTGTCGCGGTTGATCATTATTCGTTCTTACTATTTACGTTGGCTTTTGCAAACGTAATTGCTTTTTGTTGTGTTATCTACTTCTCATCGACCTATCTTTCGAATAGTTAGAACTCGTTGAAACGAGTAATGCAGCGCTAGCCTCGATAATTGAGCTGGAAGGGCCAGCGCTAGTAGAAATAGCCGGACATAGTCAGACGCGTTCATGAAGACATATTAATTCGATTACTTTACACGTGAAGCTCTTATACGAGAAATTCCATTGCACATTTTCGATTCAGTTTTTCAAGAAGAATAAGCCTTGTGAGTCATTTCTCAGAAACAATGATGTCTTCATAAATATACGAAATCTACGTTTTCGTTAATTTATTAGTGTACTCGTAACGTACAAATAAATTAAAGTTACCAGTGAAATCAGTCAATCATGCCTGACACTGACATGTCGAACTTCATTCGAGCGATATATCCCAGGAATATCGATTCTCAAATATAATGCTTTGTTTTGATACTCGAGGCTCAACGAGAGGGATTAGTCGCGGGTGCAGCTTCGAGATTCTCCAGGCATCGTAACGTGAACTTCTACCTTAAGTGAAAACGATGGCGGAGAAAGGGTTTCGTATCGGGTTTCTTCGATCATTATGGTCCTCGCTGTCGATCGTTCTCAGCTTTGCGGGGTCGGTAATTATTTCTTTCTTCGTTCCTGGTATATAAATATCTTGCAAGAAAAACAAAATATCAAGCCAGGATGAAAGACGTATCTTTGCCTTTAAATAGAGGGTTTGTACGTAATCAGCGTTTCCAGCTTTAATATTACATCGATCGTTAGGTGAAGAGAAAGTTTGGCGTCGATCGGATGATCCATTTTAAGCACAACGCTGAACACGACCACTTGCATCATTCTTAATCCGAACTTAATTCGAAGTTAGACAGGCAGCAATGGTTCATCGTCAATCCAACTATTGTAATTGGATTGCATGAAACCGCCTGGCTCGTACGAAACAGTCCGCGTAGCTGCATCTAAGCATCTTGACATAGTTCATCTGGTTCCAATAGGGATGCTGTTAAGCCGTTATCTTCCATTAAGAGTTCTGTGATTTGATAAGCGAAGTAGACGTCTGACAAGACAAGGAATTATGATTCCGGTAGCTTACGATATACGGAACAGAGGTAAACCGTGGGTATAAGCTTTAAAGCTTGATAGAAATCTTGGAAATCGTCAAATGTATTTTGAGAAAGGTTTCAGACTTTACGATATGTAATCGAAGAAGCATTGTTTAAACGTATGATGATATATTGAATATAAGTTTCAAACCATCAGTTTTTATCGTCTGCTAATTTAGATGCTTTCTAACAACAAATAAAAATAGAAGTAAACGTATACGATATAAAATTTTAATATAAAAAAGGTCGAGATTACTTTCACTCGGCAAAAATAAATTATATGAGTTGATCTTTGTATCGTATGACCATTTTTGTTTATTGTACACATCTACTTCACCTGTAATCGATGTAGGATTTGCATCGATTTCAAATTGTATTACATATACGTTTCCAGGTAATTCATTATGTAATCGTACACGTGCCTCGTAAATACCAGAGCCGCTTAAAGGGGATGTACGATAATTTCGCAAGCAGGTTGGTGTTTGTCGCGTCCAGATTACAGCAACAATCGCCATTGATAAGGTAAATGGAATATAACGCGCACGACTGGCTGCAATTTCCGACGTCGATACCGCGAACTGCACGGATAAAAGGACTATCGACCAAAAAAGAGCGTCCTTTTGTAACTTCACAAGTGCGTTCCCGATAATCCCCGATAATGAACCAGTTAATGAAGCGCGCTTTTAGCAGAGTCAATTCTGCCCCTGACACGTAGCTGTAATGTATGGCATGATTAAATAATCAACGACCCTCGCTCGGAAACTATTCCGTGGAATAAAACGCGCAGCTATTCTATATTGCAAATAAATGTAAATCAAATTATTCTTTTATCCTCTGCAATGACACAACCTTGAAAGGT